GCCGGTTGAGCTATAGGCGCCGAGCCACTTTTTCTTTCTTTAATGTATAGTTTTCCATTTTTTAATAACTACTATAGTATGAGGCATTAGGTTGAGAACTACTTGTCGGCTCAGCACCTGTGGCTCAAGTGGCTAAGGCGCCAGCCACATACACCTAAGGTGGCGGGTTCAAATCTAGCCTGGGCCCACCAAACAACAATGATGGCTGCAACCGAAAAAAAAAAAAAAAGAGAACTACTTGTCCATCAAGTAAATAGCAAATGCCAAAATTAGGACAAATAAAACACTAGTCCAAGACTTCCCACAGACACCTAAAAGTGAAAAATAAAATAGCTAAATAAACTTATGTGCTGCTATGCCTCTTCAAATTATTTAATGTTCAAATGGCATCAGAGAAACATGACCTAAAAGAAAAATGAACACGATAACAAATAAATGTCAAAATTGTTTTCATATTGATAAAACAACATGAATTGGGAATTACCACTCTAGTCCAAAGCCACTTTCAAGCTTATAAGAATTTCCTTAGGACAGAGACTACATCATATCTTCATATTCCCAGCATCCAGCATAGCACCTAGCAAACAGTCAGTAGTTGAGTAGATAACTTTTCTGTTATACATAGAGGACAAAAAATATTTAAGCCCTAGTTCTCATCTATATTTAACTCTAGCCATTCAAAAGCTAAAAATATTGATAATTTGGTGTAGCTAAGGAGCTCCTATAAATTAAGGCATTCCTGGAAGAAATGTCTTGGTACATAGAAGCAATGGCTGCAGATAGCTACTCCCGAAGACCAAAGAGGAAACCATAACTTGTGTGGCACCTCGGCCCCTTGCCCACATCCACAATGATCAGTTGCACAAAGTAGGCTTAGTCCCAAAACTTTTCAGACTTTGTTCCTCCACTAACATCTGGGTTCAGCATGATTTCTGACCTCTACCTCAAACTGGAGATTTCAAACAATAAGAACCTAACTCAACAAGAAAGTAATGTCACAAGTCAAGGCCAGGCCAGGATCAGCAGAAACACTTCAGAGAAATGATTCTGACCCACACATACATGTTTCTAAATATCTAAAATACTAATTTTTCAAGAAGCAAATTTTAAATATACTTTCTCAGATTAAAAGTATTCATACTACTGAAGAGAAAAAATGTTTTCCGGGAAGTTAATGGCCCTACTAAGTAGATAAAATAAGCTTTTTTCCCTTTCTTTCTAGAGAGAACATACTTTTTTCTTTTTTGTAGAATTTGGCTCCAAAATCCTGGCTCATAAATCTGAGACCCAAAAACCGATTCTTTTAAAAAGACGTCTCAAGCTGACCTAGTTTGGAAGCTTGGATGCCTTTAAATTGCCAATGAACTGAAACCATTCATGAGAATGGGGCTTTTGAATGCTGAGAATGTTCTTTGGAGCTCAGCACAAAGATATTTGGCATAGATGACTATAAATATTTGTAAAACTCTGGGTAAATGGACAGAATTTGACCACACTCAAACCTTACTTCCAGCACAGTAGTGTAGAAGTGAGTTATCTAGGGTGACTGAGTTTTGGAGGCTGAGTTTTGTTGTTTGTTTTAAATAAAAAGCCAAGCAACACAATTCTGCTACTTGATATCTTTTTCACATTCACTATACATGTTTGCCTGGAACTATTTTACTCATCAAGATAATCAAAGGTTACTTTTGAAACAGAGGTGTTTCTCTTTTCTTTTTGATTTTTCTAACTTTAAGCCCACCACAAAGAATAAAACACTATTCAAAGGTGTATCAGGGCAGGGCAGGAATTGTGTGAAATCATGACCTTGGATTTCATAGTAAATTATCTCCAAGTAGCTTTGTGGGTCTACTAGAAAGTTTTCTTTCTCTCTCCTTCTCTCATCCTCAAGATAGTTTAGAAATACTTTAGGGACTGCTACTTATTAAAAGCATCAGTGTTGGGAAGGAAGGATAAAACAAGGAGGAGGGAACCATAGAAAAATTAGATGTGAAAGGGACCAGAGATCAAGAGGCTCATTTCAGTGAAAGCTGGAGCAGCCAGATACTTTAGTCAGCAACTCAGTTAAGACTGGCCAGATTCCTTCTGCCTCTTACCCACACCCTAAAAACTGAGTAATGCTCAGTTTTTAGTTCTTTTATTTTACTTCTGGGCAGAGACACCCCTAATCAGCTGCTTCAGAAATGTTAGGTACATTTGTCCTTTAATTCATACTTCTCAGCGTTCAAATAAACACACAGAAATGCCAAATCAGAAAATACTAATAATCCTATTAGGAACCCAGAGCTAATGTTTTGATAAGATGCATGGGGCAGAAAGCAATAAGAAACTGAGTCCGTAATGGAAACGTAAAGAAAGAACATTTTCCCAGAGAAGGGAATTAATGCCAACAAATCTGAATGTGAGGAGTAGCTACATCAGGGGTGGACTTAAAGCATATTCCCTGAAACTAAAAAGATAAGCAAAAGGTGCCCTGGAAGAGACATCTTTTCCCTGTTGAAAGAGTAATCCATTTCATTTTAACTTAAATTTGAGAACAGCTTTATGGAATCAGGAGTTTCATTCTGTTTATCAGCAATTACCTACTTGGTGGAATAATCACTATACTGTAATGGCCAGGATGCCACGGCTAATAAAACATGCTATTTATAGCTATACATGTCAACATATTGCTATCCATTTCCAAATAACAAAAGGTGATATGGCATATGCCAATTTTTAGTCTCCCCCTTAAGACGTAAGGAGGTGTGGTCTAATCTTCAATTTTACAATACATTCCATAGAGACTGTTTTATTAGAAATGAAGCTGCTTTCTGTTTTCCTTACAAAGGTATCTATGTTTAAAAGTTAACAGGTGTTTAAAGCATTCAGAAAGAAAATTCAATTCTGTATGATTTAAAAGCACTTAAGGCAGAAAACAAATCCCAAAATCATGGTGTCACAGTTAGTCCCCCGTCCTTTTCTTTCAGTCCAACACCGTTCTGGTTTTGCAATGCCTGCAGCCTTTAAAAAAATCTCACTACACCTACCTGGCAGGAGACCTGTATTCCTCCGGCCGCTGCCGGGCTTCTCAACAGCTTCCCTCGCGCGCACGGCCAGCCGGGGTTGCTCGCACACCGGGCAAGAGGAGCTGTTTCATTCTCTCCTTCCTCCTCCGGGCTCTGCGGCTGACAGCTTCACACTTTACAGGATTGCAACAGGACTGGGGCTCCCGGACCTATTGGTCGGGAGGAGGAGGAGTCCCCAACCGCCTCCTCCCCCTGACTGGCAGCTGCGATGCCCGGGAACCTCGCGGCGCGAGTATGGGGCGCAGTTCGCCAGCGGCGGCAGCAGCGCGTTTATTTACACAGGAAGCACAGGCGCCGCACTTCCTACTTCCCATCTGGGTCGCACTTCGGCTGCAGGTGATGGCCTTAACCCTGTCCCAACCGGCCGCCGTGCGCCTCGGCGCTCCTGCGTCCAGTCCACCTTGTCAAGACCCCTCTCGCATTTTCCTGGGACAGCTGTTGCAGGATTCCCGAGCATCATGTCCGGGCAGCAGCGTTTGGTGCCCTTGTCTTACCCAGACCGGGACCGTTTAGCCCTTGGCCTTCAGCGCCTGCTGCCTCTCTGACTACGCCTGTCCTCACAGGCCACCTTTCTTCTCACCCCTTCCCAGCTCTTCACTTCTCTTTCTTCTACTTCTCACAGCCCAGACCTAACTTTCCACCTACCCAGAAAACTGTTTCTTATCAAAAAACAGTTCGTACCTGATTTGTCCCTTTGCCTCTAATGATAAAATTAGGAGATAGGCAAATCAAATTAGAAGCAATCTGTTTACCTCCTGAAATATAGGCTCGTCTTTATGAAAGGAAATGAAGTCCTTTGTAATTTAACCGGTTGTACCTTCAATTAAAGAAAAATATAACAAAAAATCCAGAAGCTGTGAGCTGCTGTAAAGTGTCTTCCTCGCTCTAAAACCTTGGATACTTGAATTGTATGATGTTTTTAACTCCCCCCCCCCCACACACACACAGAGGCCACAATCACAAACCTAAATCTGTTAACTATGCAATTTGGAAGTCACTAATCTGACTCAGGAATCTTTCTTTGCTCACTGTGCAACCTCACTCCACTTTTAAACCGACTCTCAGGAATGTGCTTCCTAAAAGGGGGGGGGGGGGGCTCACAAGCCCTTTGTGGAAGGCATCTGTGCTCGTGCCAGTGAAGTAGCAGCAGCAGGCACAGTTCCAAAGGACACAAGCAAACTGCTTCTTAGCTCTCCGTGTGGAAGCAAACCTCTAGGTCAAAGCTAAGTGCCAAAGAACACAGCATATCTATTAACATGTGTGTGATGCTAGGACCAGCCTACTACTGAGGAAGGAAGAGGAAAAAGGTCAGGATAGATAACACAGTAAAAGAAACCTCACAGTAGGGACCCAAAGTAATATAATTAAAGGTTATTTGAGCTTGAAGAGTCCTTTCAGCTATTTTAGCCCAAACAACCTAATTTTAAAAATAAGAAAACTGATGACCAGGGAGATTTAAGTGGTTGGCCCAAACCAGACAGGGGCAGAGTGAGAGTGAGGTGCATGTTAATGAAAACTACCCCCTAAGGATGTATAACTTCATGTTTAGGTTCTGAGATAATCTATCTCAAGGAATTTTCTTGCATAGTAACTGCTTCTGACAGAAAGGAACTAGGAAATATAAACAAAGCACCTTTGAGGAGGTTATTTATTATGGTTGATGCAAATCTTCTGAGCCTTAAGCCAAAGTTCAATACAGAGTCCACTTTTTAAATTACCAATCAATCAAGTTATAATCTCTGGTTAACCAATAAGGGAAGAAGCTGCTGCCAATATGAATAAAAACATAACTTAAGCAATAATCATGCTTCCTGTCATCACAAATATTTTGTACACTGAATAACATCACCAATGATTATTTTTAACCTTGGGAAAATTGTATAAGTTGCAGTCAAAATTTTATAAAACTAAATAAACATGTTGAATGCTATACTATTAAGTAAACAACCCTTATAGATCTGCCTAAAGAGTCTACAGAGTGAATGAAGATTCATTCCCTTGAGCATTTATTGATCTCCTCCCAGACAAGCTGCTAGGTGCTAGAAGGATAAAGAAAAGTTAGATATGCTCCTCTCCTCAAAGACTTCTCAATCCAGGGAAGGAGTCAGACAAGCAAACTGATTTTCAGGGTACTGATAGTTGACCCTGAGTGATATGTGATGAGTGAAATGACAAACTAAAGCATGGTGTGCTATGAGAACATAAAGAAGACTAATTTAAATAAAGGAAGAGGGTTGATGAATCAAAGAAGGCTTCTCTGAGTAAAATGATTTAAATCTGAATCTTCAAGTATCCAAGTGAGGGTGGTGAAGAAGGATGAATCAGGCAGAGCAGACAGCTAGTACAAAGGCTTAGATGTCAGACTTTGGGTGAAGCTTTTCATCATGCATAGCTAAGGCTTTCAGAATGAATGAATGAGGGCCTGGACTAATGTAGTGACAACTGGCATGCAAAGGTAGGAAACCAATAGAGAGAGATTTCAAAAACAGAATTGATGGGACGTGGCATCTCATTAGGTGTGGGGGATGAGAGAGAAAGAATAGTCCAGGGTGTTGGCACCACTAAGAATGGGAATGAAAGAAAAGCAGTGGTAAGGAAAATGATGATGATTCAATTTCAAGTCTACAGAATCTGAAGGGCCCCTGGGGCATATTGGAAGAACTGTCTAGTAGGCCATCAATAGAGAGATCTGAGGTAGGGAGCCATTTGGGAATTGCCATGATTTAGATGGTGGCTATGGATGAGATAAACAAAAGCTAAAATCACCCACAACAGGTAGATGGTAGAGGGAAGCCAAGGCTTTAGACTTAAACAAAGACTACTTACCCATTCATTATGTAACCTTAGGCAAATTATTTAACATTCTCAAAACTCAGTTTTCTCATCTATAAAACAGGAATGACGATACTCATCTCATAGGTTGCTGTGAAGGTAAATGAGAGGTTTGTAAAGTAGAACCTCTCATTGACATCCACATCTGATGGACAGAAATGCCTGTACTATGCAAGTCTTGGGAGAGTAGGTCAGTGAATGTCACTTTCTCTAATTGTGCAGTACACAACCTCTTCCACTGTACGCTATGGCCCTGGCCTGATACACAACAGTAACTCAGTCAGTCAGAGCTATTCATTTAAGAAGGAAAGAGTAAGAAAGGGGCAGAAAAGAGAACCCAAAGGAATACAGGTATTTAAAGAATAGGTTAAAGAGAAGAGTCCTCAAATAAACCTAATAAGTAATTGCTTCACATTGACTGCAAAAATAAATGTACTATCTGATATCTCAGATGGTATAAAATCCAGATACTATAATCTGCAGAAATATATTTTAGCATTCTGAGTAATGACATAATACTACAAATTCTTCACTAGAGATTGAAATCATTTGACCTGCATTATAATAGAAAATCACTTTCTAATCTGAATTCCAGACCTTCCTAGAGAAAAGGCATATAAAATCTTGATATTAATGCCAAACAACCCAAATTGTATTAGTAATACAACTAAAGTCAAAAAAGAGAAAAATCAAAAGAAATTCAAAGCATAAAGTTTTCTCTGCATGTGAGGCAAAAAAATAATTACTAGATTCTCTATGTATAAGATGCTGAAATAATATGTATCATAATATGTAATACATAATATATAACAGGTATACGTCATGAAATACATTATAATCCTACATAAGAAAAGAATCACAAGTAGGATTTATTCTTCAGAAAGTTATTTTCTTTAGTTAATATAAAGAAAAATCAAGATTTGTTTATGAAATTACTCTTCTATTCAACCTTAGAATGTAAGTTCGTAACACATATCTTACATTTGACATCTTAATTATTTCCTGTTGTTAAAACATAATTATTTATTTATTTATTTGTTGTTGTTGTTGCTGGGGCCAGGTTCAAACCCACCACCCTTGGTATATGGGG